GGCGGCAGCGACTCCCAACAGCCCCAGCCGGGAAGGGAAAGGCAAAAAGCGCTTTGCCTTTCCCTTCCCGAGGCGGCGGGACTGGGGCCGCTCTGGCGGCAGCGACTCCACACCATTTTTTTTTTCAGAGGGGAATCTGACTCGAGTATAAGCCGAGGGGGATTTTTTCAGCACAAAAAATGGGCTGAAAAACTCGGCTTATACTCGAGTATATACGGTATATATATAATGTGTGTGTGTGTGTGTGTGTTAATACTTTTTCTTTTTGCTTAATTTAAAAAATGTTTTTCTGGCTGGTGGGGGGGGGAAGTGGATTAAGAAACTCTGTAACACTGCCAACTAGAGGCTTGAAAATATTTTATTTGAATTGGAGAAGAACTCTGAAAAGACTACTTCTCAAGGACATTTCAATTTGATAAGATAGAGGGAGAGCATAGCAGAATATTATTACAGGTGCTCTCCTGGACCCTTATCAACATTTCAACACTTGAGGCTTGGCCTTGAAGCTTGTCGAGAAGAGAGTCATAATAAGAGCCTTGGACAAATAAATAGAGTGCAGTGTTTTGTTTTGTTTTTATCTTTTTTCAGTCGTGTACCCCTACTCACCAGCCTCTCTGTAAACCTTAATTTTAGTAATATTCTTATTTTTGCTTTTTATTTTAAAAGGAAAGCCTCAGAATTTTTTCTTTATTTTTCTTTTCTTCTCCTTTTTTTTACTGGGATTCTTTCTGCTTTTTTCATTTATATTTTTGGACCACTCTGCCTTTTCTTTTTTATTATTGAGACTTCCCAATTGGATTAAAGATTATTATTATTTTTGGGTTTTTTTTTTTCTTCTATTTTTCATTTTTTACTTTGGACTACTTCATAATTGGATTAGGGTCTAGAAGAACCTGAAGATTTTCTTCTTCTTTTTCTCCTTTTTTTGTTATTGGGCTTTTTATTATTGGATTTTTCCATTTTGGATTATAATTGGCTATTCTACCAGTTGGATTAAAAGCTAAAAAGAATTTGAAGGTCTTGAAGCATCAAAATGAGCAGAAAACCCATATCTTCTGGCGTTTCTACTTCTACCTCTGCCTCCCCACCAGCTGGACAACGCTTGATTCAGACAATGTTGAAGCAAGATAAAGAACAAGAAAAAGTGACGTTACAGATGATTATGCAAGGAATCCAAGATCTCAAGACAAAATCAGACGCCATTGAACAAAGAATACAGAATATTGAACAAAGAACAGGGAAGACTGATGAAAAAATTGAAAATATTCAACAAATGATGGCGAAGTATGATGAGAGATTCCAAAAAA